TGCAGAAGACTGCAGGTGGAAGTGAGACAACACTAGGGAAAAGGGGACAATTCACAGCTGATGGGAATGTAAATTAGTCCAGCCACTATGGAAATCAGTATGGAGGTTCCTCAGGAAGAAGGTAGAACTCTCATTTTATCTAGTCATACTACTTCTGAGTATATACCCAAAAGAATCAAAGCCAGCTTACTCGAGAGAAACCTATGCACTTTCACTGAAGCACTATTCATAAACCAAACTGGAACCAGCCTTGGTGCAAAACAATGGATAAAGAAAATATAATACATTTATACAATGAAGTTTTAGTCAGCCTTAAAGAGGAATTATTATGTTGTTCACTGGAAAATGGATAGAACTAGAGATCATCATGTTAAGTGAAACAAACCAGTGCCATGAAGAAAAGTATCATGTTTTCACTCCCTTGTGGAAGCTAGGGGAAAACAAAACAAATCAACCATGGTCATGAAAGTAAAAGGGAAGTTACTAAGAAAGTGAAAGGAAAAGGGGAAGGAGGAGGGGGAAAGAGTAATAAAGGGGTTAATATGATCAAAGTATAGTATACACACGTATGGAAATGTCACTATGGAACCCCTTCCTATATACAATTTAATACATAACAATTAAAAAAGACTGACGTGAACTAAAAGTCCTGGAATCTCTTTTTCTCAGTTATAAAATGAGAATAACATACAATCCACAAAATAGTAGCAAAGATTAAATAGGAATGAAATATAAATTGATGATCACAGTGCTTAAAATGTAAAAACTGATAGCTAATAAAACTAGCAAGACACAATAAAAACCAAAGTATAAGAACATACATGGTAGTATATTAGATAAGTTAAATGTTACTAAAAAGCCAGTACAAAATTTATAAATGTCATGCTCCTAATATACAAAGAATTAATCACTAGATATGATTTTTTCACAATTAATTCTAAACTCAATGAACTTAAGACTGTCTTCACTAATAAAACACAAATTTTAAAAAACACAAAGAAGAAAACAACTTGTTTTTTGACAATATTAATACAGTCTAAAAAACACGTCTTGTGAAAAAATTTACTTCTCCTCCCTAAAAATGCGGAAAGTGGCATTATCTCTAACAGGGTTTTTGTTGTTCAAGATTCTATGATTCTCCCATTTAATAAACTAAAAATTGTTTTCCCTAAATGCCTTCAAAAAGAGAAGTCAAATCTTGTATCCAGCACTCAAACTCTTACATCAACACTATAATCATACTTACCTTTCCAATCTTTTCTTAATCAGGCCCTATATAGAATCTATACACTTTCCTTTCTTCTTACTTTTATTTATGTGATTCCTCCATATAAAATATCCCTTTCCACCGTGCGTGGTGTTACATACCTGTAATCCCAGCACTTGAGAGGCTGAGACAAAAGGACTGCAAGTTCAAGCCCAGCCTGAGCTACATAGCAAGACCCTGCCTCAGATTTTTTTTATTTATTCATTTATTCATAGGTGCATACATTGTTTGAGCCATTTCTCCCCCCTCCCCCCACACACTCTCCCTCTACGCCCTCTAGCTTCCAGGCAAAACCTGTTCTGCCCTCTTCTCCAATTTTGTTGAAGACATAACCAATAATAAGAAAGACATAGCGTTTTTTCTAGTTTGAGATAAGGATAGCTATACAGAGAGATTCCTAGCATTGCTTCCATGCACATGTGTATTACAACCCAAACTGATTCATCTCTACCAGATCTCTACACTACTTCCCAGTCACCTTCCCACAGTGACCTCTGTTGTTTTAAGGTTACTGAATTAGTTACTCTGCAGTGGAGACATCAAGCACTTTCAAGTTTGGGGTTTCCTACCTTTCCCTATTCCTCCTGTATGTATTCTCCCCTTAGCATGTGACCCATGTCCAATAGTATTACATTTATTTTAGATCTAAAGTTCACATATGAGGGAGACCATATGATTTTTGGACTTCTGAACCTAGCTAACTTCGCTTAAGATGATGTTCTCCGGTTCCATCCATTTACTTGCAAATGACAAGATTTCATTCTTCATGGCTGAGTAAAATTCCATTGTGTATAAATACCACATTTTCTTAATCCGTTTGTCAGTAATGGGGCATCTTGGCTGTTTCCCTACTTGGCTATTGTGAATAGTGCTGCAATAAATATGGGTGTGCAGATGCTTATGGAGTACTGAGTCGTACTCCTTTGGGTATATCCCTAGAAGTGGGATTGCTGGATCATATGGCAGAACTATGCTTAGTTTTTTAAGAAGCCTCCAGACTGTTTTCCAAAGTGGTTGTACTAGCTTGCATTCCCACCAGCAGTGAATGAGGGTATGAGGGTTCCTTTTCCCCACATCCTCGCCAACATTTGTTGTTGCTGGTGTTTTTGATGATAGCTATTCTAACGGATGAGGTGGAATCTTAGTGTGGTTTTGATTTTCATTTCCTTTATGGTCAGAGATGGTGAGCATTTTTTCATGTGTTTTTTGGCCATATGGATTTCTTCTTTTGAAAAAGTTCTGTTAGTTCAGTTGTCCACTTCTTCATTGGTTCATTGATTTTGGGGGAGTTTAGTTGTTTAAGCTCCCTGTGTATTCTGGTTATCAATCTGATGTATAGCTAGTAGCAAAAATTTTCTCCCACTCTGTGGGTGGTCTCTTCAGTTTAGAGACCATTTCTTTTATTGTGCAGAAACTTTTTAATTTCATATAATCCCATTTGTGCATCCTTTCTCTTAGTTGCTGAGCTGCTGGAGTTCTACTGAGGAAGTCCTTGCCTATACTTATTGCTTCCAGAGTATTTCCTGCTCCTTTCTGTACTAGTGTCAGATTGGGGCCTGATATTAAGGTCCTTGATCCATTTTGAGTTGATACTAGTACATGGTGATAGACATTGATCTACTTTCGGTTTTCTGCAGGCAGATAACCGCTTTTCCCAGCAACATTTGTTGAAGAGGCTATTTTCCATTGTAAGTTTTTGGCGTCTTTGTCAAAGATAAGGTGGGCAGAGCTGTATGGATTCATATCTGGGTCCTCTATTCTGTTCCACTGGTCTTGATACCAGTTTTTGTGCCAGTACCATGCTGTTTTTATTGCTATTGCTTTGTAATATAGTTTGAAATTGGGTATTGTGAAATCTCCAGCATTGCTCTTTTTGCTAAGAACTGCCTTGGCTATTTGAGATCTCTTATGTTTCCAAATGAAGTTTAGGGTAGATTTTTCAATCTCTGTAAATGTCACTGGGAGTTTGATGGGAATTGCATTAAACATGTAGATTGCTTTTGGTACTACAGCCATTTTTAGTATGTTGATTCTACCAATCCATGAGCTTGGAAGATCTTTCTACCTTCTGTAGTCTTCCTCAATCTCTTTCTTCAGAGGTTTGTAATTCTCCTTGTAGAGGTCATTCACATCCTCTGTTAAGTTTACTCCTAGGTATTCAGTTTCTTTTGAGGCTATTGTAAATGGAATTGTTTTCATACATTCTTTCTCAATTTGTTCATTGTTGATGTATAGAAAAGCTAATGATTTTTTAAGTTGATTTTGTGTCCTGTCCCATTGCTGAAGCTGTTTATGGTGTCTTGAGTAAGACCCTGTCTCTAAATAAATAAATAATAGGTCTGGGGATGTAAATCAATGGTAGAGCACATGCCTGACACGCACAAGGCCCCAGGTTCAATCCCCAGCACCACAGGGAAACAAAAATAAGTGAATACAATAACAAAATATCCCTTCTCAAAGTTCTATATTGGCCTTTTAAAAGCTTTGTTGACTAAATGTATTCATATATTTACATATTTATGGAGCATCTTTTTCAAGTAAGGCACAAAGCTGGACAATAGATTAAAGACAAAGAAGTAAGCCATGGTTCCAACTATGGACATGTAAAGAACTAACCCTAGTACAACTTAGCATCAAATAATTGGCAAAAAGGCTAGTTTATATTGTCATAGTAAAAATAAACAAGAGTCAATTAAGCCTTAACCCACCTGAAATACTCCCTCCTTCAATATTCAGTTGGGTAGTTTTCTTTCAACTGTTCTGAATCACCATGACTGTTTTACAATAATCACTCACAATAACACTATGTCCTTTATTCCTAATCTACATGAAACTTGGAAAAAGCTTTTTTCCTATACGCTTTTAATAGCTGTTAAATTTTCTTTAAACTTTATGTTATTCAAATAATGATATAAAAAGTTTTCCAACAATGAAGATTTCTCATATTTTTGAAAAACTTCTCATACTTATGGCCAAAGTGATTACCAAAAAAGAGAAGAAGCAGTTCACAGAGATACACTTCTTACTCTTTCTTATATCACTGAACAGCAAGAGTTTATCCTAAAAGAAGATGCACTTTTATTGGAAATTCTGGTAAAGAATTTTGTGGAAAGTTAGATAAGAATTAGATTTCTTAAGAAGCTTCTTACTGTTTTAAGAAAAATGTTAATAGACTAATTTTTACAAAGAAAATTTTTAATTTTTCTTCGTATGTTTACTGTACCAACCCAAAATATATGAATAACCTTTGATTCTTTAACTATCATATACTTAAAATAACATAAACACAAAACTCAATTACCCTCTGTATAAACATTCTTAATTATCCATATCCACTAAAAAGTATTATGAACATAAGTTTGTCTCATAGCTGATAGTCTGAAGTACACAACACTTCTGTAATAAAAATGCCACAGAAAGATTAATATCCATCTTCCAGGTTTACCCTATTACCAACCAGCTGCATTTTATTAAAAATATAGTTATATTCTAGGAGGATACAACTATTCATTTACAAACCTGAATTCATGTAAGCACCCTAATCTAATATGTACTAAACTTACTTTAACATTTTTAAACATGACCATTAAAAACTAGCCAGAAGTTTTAAGTTTTTCCAGCAAGCAAAATACAAATTTAAAACAATCTAAAAAAATTTTTACTTAAATTCACTGTCTTATGTAAAATAACTAAAAATCTTATCAACTTTATTTTTAAAAAGTCCAAACTGTACCTGATTACCACCATGGCCAAAAGGAGTACCAGACAGATTAGTGGTTACACTGTGCAAAATAATTTCACCACTCAGAGATCCAGAAGCAATGTAGCAATCATTCCAATTGTATGTTACACAAGTTACTTCATCCTTATGATCCTGGAGGAGAGAAATCCAAGTAACAACAGTTGCCCATAATCTTTAAACGGCCCATTTTCTATTTCATGTTTGTCAATCTAATATTCACATTAACATTTTCCTGAATAGCTTTTAAAAATTACTCATATGATTAAGAAACTATAGTAAACACCGAAAAAATTACTCGAGTGACTAAGAAACTATATAATTGATACCAAGACTTTTTGGGAAACAGATTTATTTTTATGAGACAGTATGGAAAGGTAATTTGCTAAATATCCACCTTAAAGAATTGACTCCCATTGACAAATAACATTTATCACAAATTCACTATCAGAAGAGTTTACCCTTGAGTATTACCTTCAACTGAGAAGACAAAACATTTAAATTAACACAAAATGATAAAGCAAATGCCAAGCAGTAGAGGCAAAGTGTCTCTGTATCACTGTAAACTGAATTAACAGAGGAAAGCAAAGCTAGAGTTCAACCCTAAAGAAGGAATAAGGCCCAGATATGGTGGTACATACCTGTAATCCCAGCACTCAGCTGAGGATCACAAGTTCAAAGCCAACAAGGACTATGTAGTGAGACCCTATCTCAAAAACAAAAAAAATAAGTAAGAGATAGGTTAGTGAAACAGGAAAAGAATCAGGTTTTGCAAAATGGGAGGGGAAAGAACAAGCAAGCCATGTTTGGGAGATCATATAGCAGCTACTTACATTTGCTGAGCACTTTCTAGTGCTAGGAGCTTTGTATATTACTATTTAATCCTAAGAAAAATCCCAAAAGATAAGGTCATTTTGCCCATATAAAGATAAGGGTACATGGGGCACAAAAAAGTTAAGAAACCAGTGAGTGGCAAGCTCACAAAACTATCAAGTGATAGAGCCAGGATCCAATTCTAGGTCAAACTCCAAAGCCTATGTTCTTCCCCTATACCAGATTTGTCTCTCAGATTCAATTGGAAAGTCACTTTGAGTAAATCGAAGTGTGAAGTTCACATCTGTTTCTAAACATCAAATTAGAGATGTCTAGCAGGAACACAGAAAGCTAATTAGGGTTAGGGTAGTTTTTAGTAGTTTGGTGGCATATCTTAATTAAGATAAACTATGCTTAGAACCTAGAAACTCATGTAATATCAAGAATAGTAGCTATTATATCGTATATACATTACAACTTTTTCAAATGGTTCTTAGGCATTTTTCAGATATTTCTTTACATTTTCTTCCTTTCCTATCAAAGACACAATTGCCTGAGAAAAAACTGTCTTATGAGGGGAATAACAGACATTTTTGTACATTGTTTCCATTTGGGAAATTAAGACTATGGGGTCCAACAGAATTTCTATAACTTTGTAAAGGGACAGGTACCTTCCTTATTTCAACTGCAGAAAATAAGTCATTCAGTAAACATTTACTAAGCACCAACCAAGTGCCAGAAATTGTGTTATGTCAGGAGAGAGAAGACTATAGAAAAGGGATTCAAAAGATAAGGCTTCTCACTATCACCACTGGTCAAACACTTCTTAACTGAGTGAGTGAGGAAACAAAGGGTTCTAAGAATTTCAAGCAATAAGAAGGAAAAAAACTTTGTACAGTAGCTGAGAAAGTTGAGAATGGAAAAATGAGCAGACTTTGTCAAGCAAGGAAGCTCCTAAAGTATGTGACAAAATCAGCCACAGACTCTAATCTAACTTTGTAAGACACTATTCAAAATAGGCACAGCCTTCTAAGTAGCTCTAATTGAAATATTTCATAATTTACAAGACTAAGCAATAAACAGTATCTGCATTTGCATCCTATCAATTACCATTTTTTCCAAAACAGATTTTAGAGTAAAGACTCTAAAAGTTTAGCTATATCTAAAATAATGAACTTCCAAAGTCTTTAAAACAGCAGTTATAGAATTACATATTGATTTAGCTAAGAGAAAACCACTGTTCAATATACCACTTCTTGGTAAGAATTCTCTGAATGACATGAAGGCATGTAACAAAATGATGCTGAGTATTTGCTACACAATAATCTGGAGAGAAGGATCAAAACAGGCAAGAACACAGATAAAACAACATTGCTCATAAGCTGATGGACACTGATGTCAGATGATGGGAACATGGGTAATAAGTCAAAGGAACTTCTATCTCTATGTGTGGACATACATATAGGTACATAAACAACTTTAAACATTTTGCACATTAAAACTTTTTTTAAAACAAAAAACTTTAAAGATCAACTTCTAAATAATAAAAGGGCAACACAATGAAAAATAAAATTTCAAAAATTTATCATAACCACAGATATACTACAGAACTAAGAATGCAAATACCAATTCTGGTAACTGGATTGAACATCATCATCCCAGAACCACTCTCATTTTGCCAAAGTACCTTTAAAAAAAATCCCTGATGACAAAAACCATCCTCCTGAAAAAAAAATGAAGGAAGCAGTCCACTCAAGACTAGAATGAAGCAGAAAGTTTTAAACATAGGACAACATGCATTAATAATATATATGAAGGAAAAAAAGACAAAAAAACAGCGCCTACATTTCCCCTAACCAATCTCTCACTTTGATTTTAAAGCATTTTAATTTTATCATTAAAGCTCAAATTTAAAGAAAAGTTTGGTAACTAAACATATTGTGTGATATCCATTCTGTAAAGATTTAAAAGAGAATTGCTTACCTTAAGAGACCGATGAACTCTTTTTGATTTTAAATCCCAAATATTAACAGTGTTATTTAGTCCTCCACTTGCCAAGTACATAGATGTGGAATTTAAATCTACACATGTCTGCTTTTGCTATTTAAAAAACAAAAACAAACAATTAGCTTGACAGATCCCAGAGCTATGAAGTCTCATTCAACAGTAAGCATGATAAATATGTTGAATTACATGATATAAAGATGCTAATACTTATAACTAAAAACGCACCTCTCATTATCTATCTTACGTGTGCATGGGCTTGAAGGAGTTTCAAGAAGACTTCAAGGAAATCAAGCAGATTAGCATTCTCCTCCACTGAAGGGTGGTGACAGATGAGACTTAAGAAACACCAGCAGGGCTTATTTGCACTTAGTATCTCCCCTTAGTAAAAGCTGCTCTTGTAGCTCCACAGAATGTCTTAAATTAAAATCAATCCCCAGCTCAGAAAATGATAAAGAGAAGAGCTTTTAAAGAGTTTCTAGTTTACACCCCTCCTTTTATAGCTGAGAAAGTTTTTTACACAGGTCAGAATACTTGCTGTTAATCTCCCAGCAAATCTCACCCTCAGGAGCCCAAGTCTCAAACATGTCATCAAAACCTGACCTCAGTATTTGCCTAGCAAGTATTAAATCCCAAACAATACCAAAAAAAAAATTTTTTTTAATTTGACCTCACATTCTTCCTCATATAAGTACATCATACAGTTTTTTTCAAGATAAAAATACTAAATAAGCCTTAATTCCTTATTCTCCTCCCCCCCCTCAATATATCAGTAAGTTCTATAAACTTTAACCCTAAAATAAACTCCACATGGACTTCCCTTTATCCACAGCAAATCCAAATCTTGCCAAACTATGACAGTGGTCTCCTAAATAGTTTCCCTATTTCCACTCTTGCTTCCCTATATTCTATCTTCCCTAAGTAGAATGGACTTTAAAATATGTAAACCGGAGCAAGTCCTAAACTGTTTAAAAAATCCTCAATGACTTCCAATTACACCTAGAATAAACTCCAAATCCATTAACCTGCCTCCCAGAGCCCTACTCATCTGGTTCCTGCCTACCTCATGTCTTGTCATTTTCTTTTCTCACCCATGACTTCTCTGGTTCTACTGACCTTCCATTCCTTAAACACAGTATTTCCCTCAAGACTTTATCCATATAGCTTCCTTTCTTGCCTGGAAAGCTGTTCCCTGAAGTTTGTCTGGATGATGTTTTCTGGTCAACAGATACTAACTTACATGCCACCTTTTCGGGAAACCTCCCTTGGCCAACTCATGTAACTTACTATCACAACATCTTATTTTAGTTCTCTGCATAACAACTTATCAATACCCAGATATTTTTGCTTATAGGTTATTTCATATTCAGTAAGTATTTATAGAGTAAATGGCTAAAAATAGGTTACCAAGTTCTTCTCAAAATGAATATCTGAGTGTCACCTACCCAGTGGTATCATCAATCCCCATGCTACACAGTAGAGTGCAAATATTAATCCTACAAAAGTGCTAAGAAGTTATGCCAATTGTTCTTACCTCAAGTTGAATGCCATGGGAAAAAAAATAGAGAAATGAAGTCCAAAGGGGATATTTCATGACTTAGTTAAAAGGCAAGCTATGCAGGTTTAGGCAAGTCACCTCACGTTTCAGAGTCTAAGTTTCTACATCTGAGAAACAAAAGGTAAGGACTAGATCTACTGTTCATGGGTATCCATGCTTCCCCAAAACATTCTCTGCTCCAAAGATTCGTACAACAGTCCCTTTTCCCCCCATTCCTTCTGGACTACTCAAGCTTTCTTTTACCTCTTGACCAAGAGTATCAGCTATCACATACAAAAATAACAGGATGCACATTACATCAGTGTTTTAATATAGTTGCTGTAATTCTCTTGTAGGTACCACTCCAGGAAATGACTTTGGTCTAAAGATACTAAGAAGATTTAGAATCTGATTGTCACTGTAAATCTGGGCAGTTTGCTAAGAACCACCAAAATAACCTTTAAAGAAAAGAGGCAATGATGGTATCTACCAATGACTGGTGTAAGATGCCAATGGCCACAACTATAATTATTAAAGTTCAGAATAAAACACATTTATAACTGGAAGATCTCTTTATGTTAATGTATTATTAATGTAGCTAATGAACTTTAATAATTAATAGAAATTGTATGGCTATTAACAGAATCCTGTAACCCCCAAGACACAAAATAAAGACATAATTTTTAAAATTTAAAAATAACAGATGGTCAAATTTCTAGGTTATTTAGTAGCCTAATGTATCCATCACACTGCTAATGCCATTCTATCTACTTTAGAGGCAAAATAGAAAATCAAAAAAAAAAATTGACAAAGTCCCACTCTAAAAATAATTTTAAAATAAGCAGAATGGAATCTTATTTTCACAAGTAGAAAAAAACCTAAAACCTCAAATAGTACATGAATGAATGGTCTTGTACCCCATAAAAATAATAAAAATAAATTGTCAATAAACTAGTATGTTACAAGAAATTCTAATAAAGGCTAAGGCACCGATGTTTGTGAAATGTTTTTGTAAGTAAAGAAATATAGATTTAAAACTAGAATAATGATGATCTCACTTTTATCTACCCACATTATATCTTAAATGTGCGAAAGAAACCTAAGAATTAAAGCAACTAACTGAAATATTCACAAAACCCTTAGAATTGTGTCACACTTGTGAATATCATCTGTTAATTTAAAGTATAAAATAAGATTTAAAATGCAAAAGTATAAAGAAGAAAAATACTTTAAAAATAAAAAGACCCAGGCACTGATTCACTAATTCTAAAACAATGCATAAAACCATATATATATATATATATATATATATAGCAGTAAAAGTAGAAAAAATTGTTTTGAAATTGACAATAAATTCAACAAATGTTTGTTAACCATGTTTGATAGGATCCAAAGGTGACTAGGTTATTTTGCCTGCTCTTGAAAAGTGCTTATTAACCAGATTCATTCTCTGCCTCAATTTTACTAAGCTTCATTTGAATACATAGAGTGCCTCAAACTCCATTTCTACCCTTAGGAGACATTCTTTCCTCCCAAGCATCCATGTGTGAGTTGGAAGTGACACTGAGGCTATGAAAACTATGAAACTAAGAATGAGCAACCAACTATTTATACTGTTTTATTTATACCTTATCCTACTTCAAAAAAAAAAATAGCTTTCAAGTAGTTTGTATGAACAGAAATGAGGAAGCCAATATTATCCTAAGAGGATTAATTTACAAAACAAAAGGATAAAGAAACAATATGCAATGAGAGCTGTACTTATGTACTGTGGAACCAAACCTCACTTTGACAAAGCCATCCTGTTCAAGGAGAGGTTGAGAGAGGCTTGGACTGACTGTCAATCCAAAACAAACAGAATCAGAAGCAGAGGGCTACCATCAGATATGGTCGTTTGCTGATGGTCATGGGTCCACAGTAAGGACAGTTACATCCTGAAGGTTCCTATAGTCAGGCCACCTTAGTGACCTAGCTGAGACATAAGCCTAAACTAGACATTGACCAGGACCCAATAACAGAGAGTGAGTACCTACTTAATGAAATCCAAAACCTCAATTATTCCCCTAGGTTTCAATATTATTTTACCTACAGACATTTCAGTAAGCTGAATTAATTTAGGCCAAGAATGATGCTTTAAATACCTTACATTTAGCTGCAAGCACTATAGTAAGTAAGCCATTGCTACTAAAAGAAAACTAAGATTTTTAACTGAAATAGAAAACATTTTTTAAATCACTTACCCCTTCAGCAATCTCCAAAAGAGGAACAGGTTTACATTTGCAACTTGAAACAACTATTTTGTCACCACTGGAAGATGCTGTCACTAGAAAGTTATCTAAATGAAGAGTTATGGAGCATCAAACAATCCATGAACATCTATAACACTAGGCTATTACTATAAGAATGCAATCATGCCTGGTGTCGGTGGCTCCCACCTGTAATCCTAGCTACTCAGGAGGCAGAGATCAGGGGGATCACAGTTCAAAGCCAGCCCAAGCCAATGAGAATGAGACTCTATCTTGGGGGGAAAAAAAAAAACCTTCACAAAAAGGGCTGGTGGAGTGATGCCAGGTATAGGCTCTGAGTTCAAACCCCAGTACTGCAAAAAAAAAAAAAAAATGCAAACGAGTAGAGGAATATAATTTACATATTAGCTTTCAAAAATACCTCTGCTTACTAATTAGTAATCTCTTTTCTACTACTGTAGGGAACAACTATCCCTTCTGGCTATGCTATCACTTGAAAGCTATTTAACCCATTGTGAAATACTACTCCCTCTTTAGGATAGACCAGAGGTCTAATTTTATCCTTTCAGAATGAGAGCATGATAAAAAACAGCACCAGAAAACATCAATCAGCATTTTCATCTACAATACTTACTTATTAAGCCACGTGCTTGGCACAACTTCAGCTGAGAAGTTTCTACCACTCTCCTAATTTTTCCAGTAAGAAAATGAAGACTGGTATTTTCTCAGGACTGGAATTGTGATAGAATGTTTTAATCTTAAATGTATTAGGAATGAATATTACAGTAATTGCAGTAAATATAAATAAGTGTGGTTAAATAATAAATGTTTATATTATGGAAGAGTTTTAACTTTAAATATAACTTAATTTAAATTACAATTACCTCATTTTACATAAATTATACATGAATTAGTGAATGCAAAACAATTATTTTAAAACTAAAGTGATACAATAATATAACCAAGTGTATGATTTTTCAGTGATAAATTAAAATATCAGTTTATGCTGATTTAAATTTATGCTTTTTAGCAAGTAAAGTATATGTATAGAACCAATGGAGAAAAACTAAACAATTCTAACTACACTACTTTTGGGTAGTTTTCATAACATTCAGGTATGTTGTGACTAAGCAATAGATTGCAATTTTATTACATGATTCAAATAAAATCTTTTTTTAATGGCAAAGTAGTTAATCTAGTTTTATTCACATTTAACTCCACTGGAGTCAGGGATCAAGTGTCATCTTCTATTTCAAGAACGAAGTCTTCAGGTAATGTCTCAGGTTCTATCTGAACTAACTGGTCATTATAAAAACATAGAGTCCATAATTCCTCCAATTTCTGGAATCATTTCTTTTTTTTCTGGAACCATCAAATAAATCACTATGGTACCAAAATCCACCTAGGTCCAGTCATCAATGGCCTGCCATTGGATCCTAACATGCAACTTGCCTTTACATTTTAGGTACCTGTACATTTTCACTATGCAGCAGACCATGGCATGAGGAGCATTAACTTCACTACTAATTACAAAGTAATCTTTGTATCTCATTATAAGGAAACAAAGTCTTTCCTACAAACATAGTACAACATTGAGAAAAAGAAACCACTTTCTTTTCCTTGACTTTTTCCTGTTTACCACTTCTTTACTCCTTAGAATACAGAAAATGAAGAGCTAAAAGAAGGTAATATCAGAGAATAACGTAGTTAGTCTTAAAATTTCTCTTACAGTTTTAGAAATCAAAAATGAGGAACATAACCTAAGGGAGGGAAGAATTTGAGAAAGGGAGAGAGAGAGAGAGAGAAGGGAAATTAACCTCCCTGCCATCTCACATTAATCCTCTTCTTGGAGTCTATGCTGTGGTACCCCAAGTTGCTGGATCTCAGAACTCTTTGTTCTTTAGTAACTAACCTCCATGGAAGAAATCAAAGTCTTATTAGGAATATAACTACACGAAGGCTTTCAGTATACATCCACTATTACTAGAAAACTATACAGAAATAAGACCATTGTCCAAAAGTCACATGCCACTAACTTCATGGCCACATCGGTTTCTTGACAGACCATAAGTAGTGTATCAGTAAATGCCAGTCCTTAGTAAAAACTGCTTGAAACAAAAATTAAAAATAATCTTACTAAGAATTTTTTTTTTGCAGTACTGTGGATTGAACCCAGAACCTGGAACTTGCTAGGCAAGAACCCCTACCACTTGAGCCAGCTTCCAGCCCTTTTGTTTGTTTTTCAGATAGGGTCTCCAGCTATCTTCTGGCTCGGCTGGTCTCACACCAAGATCCTCATATCTCCACCTTAGAATTGTTTCTTTTCTCTTAGGCTCTAAACATAATGAAAATCTAAAACTGGACAGGAACAACTTCATACATTTACCACTCTCTTTAAAACATTTTTTCCACTACACATTAGAGGGTCCTTCAAAAATGTAGTCACTTTATCACAGGTTTGGTTAATAGAACACCCAAGTAATTTATTTTACTACTTTAATAGAAAATCAAGGAATGATAAAGAGATAAATTCAATGAGTAAATTTGTCATTCTTGTTATATATTTGCAAGAATAGATGTTGAACATGAAAAATTCTAGTATTTTTGTTCATGAATCAGTCATATTTTAAATCTTTTGATATTTTCCACCAGGAAGTAGAATATTAATGCTTTAGTATTGATAAGATCAGACAACTCTTAAAACTTAACAGTTCTTAAAAAACAGTGCATGTTTCACAAAAGAGTAATTCTAGCATAGCAATGATACAGAATATTTTCAAAGACAAGTGATAAGTGTACTTTGTTTACAGCAGTGGTCCTCAACTGAGAGTGATTCTATCAATGTGGAGACCTTTTTGGTTGTCACAACCGGGGGTTACTGGCATCTAGTGAGTAAAGGCCAGAAAAGCTTCCAAATATCCTACATCACATAGGAGAACGCCCCCCAAACAAAGAATTATCAGACCCAAAATATCAACATTATAAAGCTGAGAAACCCTAGTTTACAGACTTTGCTCCCTCAATTATTATACCCATATATAAGAGCTTCCCAACACAGGAAAGTCTCAACCCAGAAGAGTTTAGGAAAATTCAATCTAGACAATTTAAATATGTATGAGTATGTTATTTTCATCACAGAAACAAAGAGAAATACAAATAGACTATCAGTAACATAGGAACATTAGACAATTTATTTCCTCCCCTTCTTCCTTCAAGTTCTGTCATTAACGTCCAGCTCACATTCATAAATATCCAAATGTAGACACAAAAAGTCATTCTAAAACCTTTTGGAAGTTTTCCCGCCAACACCTACCTTATTCCATTCAGTTAAATAATAAACTGCTAATAACACAACTAAATCTGTAGCCAAGATTACAGACTAACATACATTTTTTAATTGCAATGTTTCTGAAGTGTGTTGCAACTAAAATTTTTCAAAATAAAACAGAGAAAAATCAAGAGTTCTTTCACATGTACTGTTTTTTAAAAACTATTATTTCACTTTATCTATGGTAGTCACACAAAATATACTTCTCATTATGAATCATATGCCAAAGTTTTGTTGATATTAATTATGAACCCTAATAAAAAGTAGTTTCTTAAAAACAACAATAACAAAAGGATACTATTGCTGCTCCAACACAAGGAACTTATTCCATGTGGTGATGTGTGGGGGTTGAATTTATCCACCAACGTCATAGATGAAGCATCCCATATTTTAACATCATCTCCAGATGAAGCAAACCTGAGGTTTTCCTGCATGGCTGAACCTACAAAAAGTTTACAACAACATATTTCAAAAGCAATTAAGGATATGCAAAATTTTTCAAAGTTGAACTAAAGCATCTAATCTGAAGTGACTCTATTTGTCCATTTTTATTCCAAACAGTATATTCACAACAAAGCAGATGGAGTGATCTTTCTGAAACATAAATCGGATCACATATTTTCAGTTCACACTTCCCACAGTTCCCTACAGCAATTATAATAAAATCCAACCTCTTTACTCTGCTGTACACAACAGATTATTACATTCCCTATGTAACTCTCCTACCTCTTTTCCCGAAGCCAACAGCCTCTGACCTTGTTTCTATCTCATGCAACAAGGCCAAGTCATTCTCACCTTAGTGTCTTCATTTGCTCCCTCCACCTGAGCAGTTCCTCAGACTGCCCAAGGCCATCTCCCCCACATCACTCAGGTCTCAGCTCAGGCCATGCCCCACCACTGTGACTAAAGGAGCCCTCTGCCAGTTACCCTATGTTCCATTAGCCAATTTCATTTTTTTCATGGCACTTACTACTATCTGAAATTCTTATTTGTTCTCAGAATAATGTCTGCCTCCTCACACTATAAGGACTAAACCAAGAATTGAAAAAAGCAACCTTCTCATCTTTTTTTAAGTATATGATAGACCTGCATTCCTGTAAGTCTGAATTCTGTCATCTCAAGCTTTCCAAATAACTCAAAATAAGTACTATGGCCAAAGGAGATGCCACTATGACCCTATACCAATTTTTGGTCTATGATGCATTCACTTTTAGTATATACTCACAGCATGTTGCTTAAACACACAATTCTAACTAGGTGATTTCACAAACCATAGCAGTCAAAAAGATAGAAGGCAAGGAAGCTACTCTAGGTAGTCACTTTAAAGAGTAGCACGTATATAATGACAGGTGAGGAAAAAATGTATCCTCAAAAGTACATGGGAGAGAAGTGGACATATGAATATACTTCTCACTCCAGCCAAGTATGGACAATACAAAAGTGCTGCACAGAAATAATGGTCACAGTCATCCACAAAATACCATATTTATGACTAATATACTCCAATTTAGAGGACAAACTAAAGGCTTAGTAAACTGCAGAAAGTTTTGTCAAAAAAAAAAAAAGCTTTGTATGTTTATAGTAAGGCCAAAATTTTAATCAGAAAACACACTCGTGTGCTTCATTATGCCCCTTTATCAAATGAACACAGTGCTACTACAAGCAATGGGTCACCTGTTGAATTATAAAGTGTTTCAATTTGGTGACTTAAACATGTGTAACAGAAGCCCTCTTGGTTCCCTACTCCAGGAACAATGCAAGTGCTGGAAAGCCCATCTCTAAGCGCAGTGACACAACTGCAAGCTGCTGCTGCCTCTCGGTCCTACACGATGCCTACTGGGCAATGTGGGGCAGTGGACAGATCGTTGAGGCCGAGTTCAGAAAACCTGGCTTCAAACGATCTGCCCTAACTTAGGTGATTAACTTTGGCAGAGTCATTTCATTTCCAGTCTCTGAACGCAGATCGAGGGGCGGGACCATCTGCACATCTGTTTGTCCCCTGCTATCTGCGCACATAAATAGGGAGGGGCATTACATCAGTCCCTAAAAGAAGATCCCACAGAGCTGTCAAGACACGACCGGACAAGTTTAAGGAGCGCAGCTGCGAGAGATGACCTGCCACACACTGGTCTGAAATAAAAGTTCTCCAACTTTCCTTCTCCAGGATGCGTTCCATTGGAGAGCCGCTCCGCTGGGGCCACCTAGTACCACGCACTCCAGAGCTGGCCCAGAGTCGTATTCGGGGCTTACAAAGAGGGAGACGGGCTTGTGCAGGAGAGGCAAACTTTCGGGGGACAGCAACACCCGCGGCCGCCGCCAACCCACCCTGGTTGACCTGGGCCGCCTGACGGCCTGGGGGTGCAGCGGTGGCGGGCGGGGGTGCGCGACCCCTGCCTGCGGCCCCCGGGACACTTCCGCGCCCAACACGCCGCCGCTCCCCGACGGCGTGCGGGGCCCGCCCGACCCGTGAGGGGGCTGGAGGGCGGCCGGGGATAAAGAGGACACTCGGATGCGAGCGGCGGTGGCCGCCTGACCCCGGGCCCTCCGGAACCTCACCTCTACGCGGCGGCACAAGAGAGGGCCACGGCGCAACCCGCTCAGCGCTGGGCTTCCGGCTCCCGCCTGGACTGTTAAACTTGGGCGGCCGGAAGTCCCGCCCCGGTGACGTCGGAGGCGAAGCTCCGCCCTCAGCGGCGGCTCCCTTGGGCAGGGCTGTGGTGGGGGCGGGACTGGGCATCTAAAAGGACGACGTCCCTCTCAGGGCGAAAACTTGGCGGCGCCCTGCAAGTCCCCGCGATGCGGCCGCTGGCAGCTGCTCCTTGGTCATTCATTTATTCGCCGTCTACCGTGTGCCAGGCCCCAAGTTAGACTCTGAGTGTCCCGTAGTAAGTGTAAGCCTAGGGGGACAGGAGCGCAGGGAACTCTGGGCCCTGGCCTGGCAGAGCTGACGGTCCGGGACAGGAGGCCGATGTTAATAAATAATTACATACTTAATGAAAACGGAGCGGCAGACTGAGGCCTGCACAACAGTCTCACAAAAAAGACGTCGGGGAAGGGGGGGACTGTGACAGTTGCTACAAAAGAAAGGTACAAGATGTCTGGAAGTCCATAATAAGGGGAATTAACATGCCTGTGAGTTTGGAAAGTTACTCTGTAGAGGAAGCCACGGAACTTACAAGCCAGGCAACACCCACAGGCTAAAGGACTTCCATTTAGAAGTCGGTCCCTAAGCCTGTATGTTCCAGTGTATTCCCTACTTCCTGTAGTTGTTTCAAAGTTTCAGGCCTTATATTAAGGTCTTTGATCCACTTAGAGTTGATACTGATACAGGGTGAGAGACGAGAATCTAGTTTCAGTCTTCTACAGATGGATATCCAGTTTTCAGCAACTTTTGTTTGTACACAAATGTATAGAAACAGTTAAAGCATGATGGCTGGGGTTATGGCACAGTGAGTTCAATTCAAAGCACCAGCAAAATAAAAAAAAAAAAGGAAAAGAGGAAGGAAGGGAGGGACAGAAGGAGAGGAAGAAAAAAGGAAAGAAAGAAAGATGGTTGAAGCACTAATTAGAGGGAATAGATTCAAATGTATATATCATGCAAAACTGATCCAAAAACAGTGATAAATGCTGTGTAGTAAGTAATCTAGTAAAAGAAGGCAAAGTGAAACACAGGGTAAAGAAATTTCAATTTGTAATCAAAACATTGTTAATAACAACAAGGGGATTGGACTTTGAGCACATGATAAAAGCGAGAGCACACAAGGGAGGAGTGAGGATAGGTAAGACACCTAAAAAATTAGCATTTGTTGCCCTCAACGCAGAGAAACTAAAGCAGATACCTTAAAAGCAGCTGAGGCCAATAGGAGAAGGGGACCAGGAACTAGAGAAAAGGTTAGATAAAAAAGAATTAACCTAGAAGGTAACACACATGGACAGGAAATTAATGTGAGTCAACTCCCTGTATAGCTATCCTTATCTCAACCAGCAAAAACCCTTGTTCCTTCCTATTATTGCTTATACTCTCTCTTCAACAAAATTAGAGATAAGGGCAAAATAGTTTCTTCCAGGTATTGAGGGGATGGGGGAAAGAGGGAGGGGGCAGAGTGGGTGGTAAGGGAGGGGGTGGGGGCAGGGGGGAGAAATGACCCAAGTCTTGTATGCACATATGAATAATAAAACAATAAAAAAAAGAACCACTGGGATATTAAAATGTTTTCAGATATTAAAATCAAACAGTACAAAAATGTCTTTAAAAAAAAAACATTGTTAATAAAGGACAAAGTCAGACGATCAACATCTAATATTAATCAATTTACATTTAACACTGACTAACCCATAGTGACAGAGAGCAGTAAACCACTTGCCTGGCTAAGGGAAAGATGGGCCCCAAAGGAGTCAAGGTGAAGATGGGTAATGCTGAAAATGTGACTGACTGTCATGGAGAAGCCAAGGTGGTTTCCAAATTTATTGACATGCCTATTTTATGTTTCAAATGATGCAGTTTATTTTCAAGTATCAATACATTTTATACATTTTCAAAAAATCTCAGGAACTAAGAGCTCCTGATCAGTAAGAAATAAAGTAATGTCCTTCACTTATAAAAGAATAACAGGTGTTTTTCATACTTAGTATGTTTTTCATACTAAGGTTTGAACGCAGGGCCTATACCTTGAGCCACTCCACCAGCCATTTTTTTGTGAAGGGTCTTTCAAGATAGTGTCTCACAAACTACTTGAACTTTGAATCTCCTGATCTCTGCTTCCTGAGTAGCTAGGATTACAGACATGAGCCACCAGCACTCAGGACAAAGTTAGTTCTTAAAAAGAATGACACACAAAAATACATCCCTGTCCAATTTCAGAACACTGAATTGGAAGAAAAGACTTTAAACATTCCCAAAAATCGGAGAGGAAATGTGTTACTGAACAAGTTCCAAGAACCCAAATGGTGTTTGTGTTCTTAATGGTAAACGAGCATTTACGAGACCATGGAACAAAGCATCTATAATTCCTCCAAGCACAATGAACGCCACCTAGAACTATCTGGCCTTGTTATCACTCAAGGAATAAAAATTTTCAGACATGTAAAGTATGAACACACGTCCCATGAAACTGATCAAGAATCTACTTCAAGTTGGGCGTGGTGGCATAGGCCTAAAATCCCAGCACTTAGGAGGCTGAGGTAGGAGTTCAAGGGCAGGATGGAGAGTTCAAGGCCAATCTGGCCTACATAAGTGAGACAATATCTGAAAAAAAACAAAAGAAAAAAAAAAGAAATTCACTAAAACAAACGAATAAAAGAAAAAAGAAGATGGTGTGCAGCCTGAGAAGGGTAAAGTGAGTCCCCAGGATCTGGGGAATCACCCATAGTGACAGACAGCAGTAAACCACTTGCCTGGCTAAGGGAAAGATGGGCCCCAAAGGACTCAAGGTGAAGATGGGTAATGCTGAAAATGTGACTGACTGTCATGGAGAAGCCAAGGTGGTTTCAAAATTCATTGACAAGCCTATTTTATGTTTCAAATGATGCAGTTTATTTTCAAGTATCAATACATTTTATACATTCCTGGGGAAGGGAAACCCCAGGATCACAAGAGAGCACTAGGGCTAAAGAGCAACCAGTCCAGACAGCAGGTCAAAACACCACAGAAGAGGCTAGCAGAGTGGCTCAAGTGGGAAAGCATCTGCCTAGCAAGTGTGAGGCCCTGAGTTCAAACCCCACTACCACTGGGGATAAAAAAAACCTACATAAGAGTTATGGTCAAAAACACTAAAGCACAAGTGCACACACACACACACACACACACACACACACGTTTAACTATATTGATAAGAGATTTGCAAAGCTGGAAGATTAGGGGCTTAATTCATGAGGGAATCCATAGCAAACTAGAAAACCAATCAACTTACCAAACAACTAAAGAACAACCATCACTAGGAAAACAAAAAGTTGTACAAGAAAGGAAAAAATGACAATAGAAACCATAACATTCAATGTATCCTGCTGTCAATGATATTACATAGTCATAAAAGCATCCCTATAAGCCAGCCACCAGTGGCTCACATCTGTAATTCTACCTACTTGGGAGGCTGAGATGAGGAGGATCACCATTCAAGGCAAAAAGCCCAGGCAAAAAATTCATTAGACTCTTATCTCAACCAATAGGGTGCAGTGGTGCACACCTGTCATCCCAGCCTCAGAATAAAGTATAAAATAGGAGGATTCTGGTCAGCCTGGGCAAAAAGTGAAAGTCCATCTCCAAAATAACTAGAGCAAAAAGGACTGGAGGTGTGGCTCAAGAGGTAGAGAGCCTGCATAGCAAGCACAAAACCCTGAGTTCAAAACCCACCAAAAAAAAAAAAGTGTGCATATAAAATGTTAATTTAAGCCGAGCACAGTGGCTCAGGTCTGTAATCCTAGCTACTCAGGAGGCAGAGATCAGGAGAATCATGGTTTGAAGCCAGCCCCAGGCAAACAGATCGTGAGACCCTATCTCAAAAAACCCTTCTCAAAAAAGGGCTGGTGGGGTGGCTCAAGATGAAGGCCCTGAGTTCAAATTCCAGCACCACAAAATAAATCAAATAATAAAATGTTAATTTAACCAAATTCAGGATGCAGCTGTACTGGGTCAATAGGAAGATAGGAAATGTACATGTGTGTAGGTCGGGTAGAAGAGAATGTTGAGAAAATTCATTCACGTTCTATAGTGCAAAGTCAATGAGTCTAATTTTTTTTAATTGTAGGTTATTATTCCTAGAGAGAGAGATGAATACCAAAAAGACATTAAAGAGAAGCACATAAAACTACAGGGCTTTAAAATATACCAAATTTTAAAGCATAGTCCCATCTTCCTGCTCAGTACCACCCACTTACCACTTCCCCAGAGGCAAGCTTTACCTTTGGTCTGTCATGCTGTCATTATTGCTTTGTCACCACACATTTGTGGGCTCTCTAAGCTCCTAGCAAACCATGTTAGGTACTGCAATCACCAAGACAAACAAAATTACTGCCTTAGAGAAGTTCAGTGTGTACCAAGGTAACAAATACTAGTGATACAAATATTTATTAGACGCTGGGGAGTCATAATGGAGGAATGAGTACTGCCTGGAGTGCTAGGGATTTTGGAAGGAAGCAAGATGACCTACACTCAAGAAACAGAATAGTCCCACTAGCAGAGTGGCTTAAGCAGTAAGAGTACTTAGCTAGCAAGAGTGAGGCCCTGAAGTTCAAATCCAGTGCCACCAAAAAAAAAAAAAAAAATACTTGGAACTTGGCTCAAGTGGTAGAGTGTCTAGCAAGCACAAGGTCCTGAGTTCAATCCCCAGTTCTGAAAAAAAATCACACTAGACCACACACACACACTTATCTGCAAGGGATATGGTCCAAGACCTCCAGTGAATATCTGAAACCATATCTGTATACCTTACTTTTTCCTAAACATACACACCTATGAAAAAGTTTAATTCATAAATTAGGCATTATAAAAGACCAATAACAGTAATCATAAATTAGAATAATTATTTTAAAATTCTGTAATAAAGTTATGTCATTGTGGTGTCTCTCTCTCTCAAAATATCTTATTGTACTTTACCTACCCTTCTTGTGATGTTTGAGAAAATACTTACAAGAAACA